TGCTACTGAAAGTAAAGAAATTGGGAATCAGTGGAAAAGTATTACAATGTATATGTAACTAGTTGACTGGAAGAACCCAGAAGGTGGTTGTACAGGGAATGTCATCAGACTGGGAAAACGGCACCAGTGGTGCTCCACAAAGGTTTGTTTTGGGACCTCTTTTGTTTAATATTTTAATAAATTATCTGGAATGAGGAGTTGCAAGCACAGTGGCTAAGTTTGCAGATGACGCAAATGAAGATGGTAGATTGCAACGCTGAACAAGAAGGTTACAGGAGGATTTGAACATACTTAGGAATTGGGCAGATCGATGGTAGATGAAATTAATTGTTAAAAAATGTAAAGTACTTCACATGGGCGGGCGCAGAATAATCCAGGAAGGGACTATTATTTGAATGGAAGGAAAATAATATATTGTTTATTTACCAAAGTACCTATCCTTTAGTCTTCCAAACCCAACATCAAGCGGTTTCCTAAAGAACTCAAGCAATAAAATCATCTGGACTCCAAATTCTCATGGCTGTCTATAGAAGGGTGTGGGTCACACCCCAAAAAAGGTTTATTTTAACAAAAGAGCTCTACCAGCCCTTGTCACCTCCCTTCAACATAGATTGATTATTAATAACTATAAAAGGCAGTGATATGGTTTATCCTCCTACCACACTGTCATTTGTTGGGTTATTTTCATACAGATAATCTTTCAGTGTGCTTTAATGAGTTTTCCATTTATTAAGATCAAACCAATGTGTCTATAGTTGACAGATGTACCTTTTTCAACTCCCTTGGCATATAACATCCACATTTACTTGTTTCCATTAAATTGGTTGAAATTGCAGTGGATCAATATGAAATTAATTATTGTCATTTAGTTTTTGCTTTCCCACCAGATCAGTTGCATTCACATCGTCCGTAGAACCATCTAGCAAGTGGTAATTGGTGCAGCCGATCACAGCCTGGCAAGTTCAAACCCATTCACAACAACAACTTGCATTAATATAACACCCTTCATGCAGGATAGCACCTTGGAGTGTTTTGGAGAACTTTTGCATAGTTTATTGCCGAATCGAGGAAAAAGGGGAGATGCCCATAGATATGGTTGAAGAGAAAGGTCTTCAAGGTAGTTAGGGAAATCGACAGTGTCAATAATGTCAAAGAACTCTTTTTGATGGGATGAGCTGACTTTGACTACAAGCAGGTAAGCTGATCTCGACTCAAAGTAGATTTTCTTAAAAATGGCTTGCACAAACACTTGTCAGCTATAAATCAGTGTTGATCTTAACACCATGTAAAGTAATGGAATTTACAGAATAAATTAACCCTCGTCTTCACCTTCTCCGTTAATGAGAGCCAATTAAGGTTATTACGCAGAAATAAAGGGTGCAATTTCCTTAGGATTCTAGGGCCGATTATGTTATTTTATTCTCCAAATTCTGTCATTGACTCCACAAATGTTTGGACAGAATCTGTCCCCTCTAGTGGCAATTGAAACCCTGATCATGTTGTCTCACACATCTCCCATTTGAATGGAAATCTTTAAAGCTGTTATCAGTAGATCTGGTATCATTTTCCAATATAATCTAATTTGTTAGCATTTCCACCAGACCAAATGCACAAACTTCTATCCCAAGGAATAATTGTAAATTCAAATTCATTTTAATCTCTGGAGTAACAGATGTTGTAATCTAGTTACAATATATTCTCCACAAAGCACTGCAGATATGTTTCCTTCTAGTGCAGTCAATATCTATCGACTGTGGAGTCCTGTAGCTCAGTGGTTAGAGCACTCGCTTTGCAAGCGAGAGACCTGAGTTCAATTCCAGGCAGAGGGCGAAACCTTGGGCAAGTTTCCTTACTCCAAACGCCTAATAATAATCCCTCCAAAACCCAAAACAATAATAAATTGGTCATTTTCAATCTACGACTGTTTGTGGGACATTGCTGTGCGCAATTGGCTGCCGCGTTTGCCCACAAATATACAGTCAATTCACTTTACAGTGTGTTCTGTGAAGCGCTTTGGGACATCCTCCTGACATGAAAAGCGCTATATCAAATGCAAGGATTATTATTATGATTATTATTATCGGTAGGTTGAAGGCCCACAAAGAAATGACAGCCCTTGGATACATCAGCCAAGGACAAAATCCAGAACAGGGTTTACATCACCTCTTTATAGAAAGTACGGCATCATCTCTATTGAACAACTCTGTCAATACTATAGATCGAAAAGAATTGGGGTTTGGAATTGGGGAATAAATAATCCTTGTTACGTGAATTTCACTTTTCACCCTGAAACTATTAACACCAACCTACCATCTGATTCCACCTCTTGGCCATGGCCTGTAGCCTGTACTGATTTATGACTTGCTAAATTTCTCTTGCTGGTAATATTTGCTGCAAGTAACTCCGTCACCAATTCTTTCTCAGGCTGCCAACCTCTCTTGAAATCAGATGAGTTTACTAAAGCAGAATTTTTTTATAACCTTCCATACTTTGTCATAGTTTTTCACATGTAACAAAGCTCAAAGCATTAATGTACCAATATATTATTTCAATACAATTATAGTGTGACATTTCAATTACTTTTTTATTGAATATTCATACCACGATAGAATTGTTCCCAAGAAATTCCAATTCTCTGAAGTCTACTTATCTAGAGCATAGCCTGCTCTCCTCTCAATATAATAATCTCACAGTTGAGATTTAACTGCACATTTAATTGCTTTCCAAATCAGCAAACTAACCCCTTAAACATCGCCTTCTGGTAATACCATAAGAAATACAATACAATATTACATTTATACAGTGCCTTTCACATCGGGAGCATGTCCCAAGGTGCTGGACAGTCAGGAATTTGGACCGAAGCTGGGGGTCGGGAGTGCAAGGAGGGTTGGAGGGTGGCCGAAGGTTCAGTCAAGAGGGTTTTGAGACGCACCTTGAAGGAGGCAAGGGAGGGAGCAAGGCATAGGGAATGTGGGATGGAGTTCCATAGGGTGGGGGCAGAAAGGCTGAAGGCCTGCCTGCTGATAGTGGGGTGGGCCAGGCAGGGGACATGGAGCAGGCCAGAGCCTGATCAGGGATGTGGGGTATGGGGTGGGAGCAGGGCTGGGTGGGGAGGAGTTTTGGGGGGGAATTGGGATCAGGGAGGGTGGAGGGCAGAGAGGGTAGGAGGGTGGCCAAAAGCATGGTCGGACTAGGGTCTTGAGGTATGCGTTAAAGGAGACAAGGGAGGGAGCGAGGTGAATGGAATGTGGGATGGAGTTCCAGAGGGTGGGGCAGAGAGGCTGAAGGCGCGACCACCGATGTGGGGCAAGCCAGGCGGGGAACATGAAGCAAGCCGGAGCCTGCTGAGTGGAGGGAGCAGACAGGTTGACAAGGGGTTAGCAGGTTGGGGAGGTCGGAGGCAGCAAGGCCATGGAGGGCCTTGAAGATGAAGACGAGGATTTTTAATTCTATCTTCTGAGGGATGGGGAACCAGTGGAGCCGGCGAGGGTGGATGTGATGGGGTCACGGAGCCTAGGGCGAGAGAGGGCACGAGCTGCAGAGTTCTGAATAATCTGCAGCTCGTGGAGGGAAGTGTTGGGAAGACTGACAAGCAGGGCATTGGCATAGTCGAGCCTAGATGCAATGAAGTCATTTATGAGGGTTTCGACAGCCGGGGGGATGAAATAGTGGCGGAGTCGGGCAATGTTGCAGTGGTGGGGGAAGACAGAGCAGGTCATGGCATGGATGTGGGGCAAAAAGGACAGTTGAGAGTCAAACAAGATGCATAAGTTCTTGACTGGCTTGGTGAGGTGGAATGTGCCTCCATGGATGCTGATGCTGCCAGTGCCTGAGGTGCAGAGATACTGGTGTGTGTCAATCAGGAGAGCCCCGGTCTTGCTGATGATCAACTGTAGAAAGTTGGCTCTCATCAGAACTATTCTGATAAATATTTTGTGTAACATCAGTTGCACTCAGTTGCATACAATCCCCTCCCCCACCCCCCAGAAAAAATGTTTGACTTGTACTTTATTTCACCCCCCAAATGCACAGTCAACCCACTTCACAATATATCCTTTGAAGAGTTTTGAGACATCTCAATGAGGTGATAAGGTGTTACATCATAGCATAAATGCAAGGATGATTATTAAAAATAAAGTTTTGCAGACAGAAACTTGAAAAGATAAGGAAACATTTGTGTTAAAAATTGCCCGTGTACTTTTGTCAAGTTTTCAGTCAAGGCAACCACAGAGGAAACCATTGTGAACGCAGCCACGTGAAACTGATTGAAGGGGAGTCCTGCAATAAAAGTTTTCTCAATACAAATAAAAAGTACATGTTTCAGCTACCTAGAACGCAATAGATAGGAGCACCTGTAGTAAGAATAATGTGGCCAAAACCACTAAAAAACAAAGTGTTATCTGAAATAATGTTACTTAAATTTTAATTGCAAACTACAATCAGCACGAAACAACCAATTGTGAATACTGTATACTAAGCGTCAAAGGTTACAGAAAAGGAACATTTAAAGCAGTGGGAAAGCTTGGCAGAGAGTGCTATCAATGGCAAGCTACGCGGTTTTAGCTGGTAGACTCCAGCAGTATGCCAACCCACGCTCAGGGGTCCCCAAGCATTGGCTCTTGCCAACCTGCGCCTAATAATTTCCGGAATTGTGTCCCTCCGAGCGCGCATTCCATTCCGACAGTCTACCACTGGAATTTCCATGTGTAGGTGGGATGCATGGAATTCTCAATTTGGTTTGGATACTCTTATGCAAAAATAAAAAGGTGGGGGAGACAAAACACCAAACAATAAGTCGGGAGTGAAAATGTAGAGAGAGCTGGAATCCTTCCAGTGACCAAACAAACAATTCCACTCTGTCCTGGGAGTATGTTTTCAGTCTGCAGTCAGCTGTTGCAGTTTGCCAAGATGCATATTTGCTTTGCTCGGGATGAACCGCAAACACTCTGACTCCCCCCACTCCCCCCCCCCACCCCAAGTTGTTTCCAAAATCTGCCAAAGGAGGAGGAAATGAGCAAAGTTTCATAACCTGTTTTGCAGGGAGAGGTCGCATCAAATCCCAGCACCACAGAGAGTTCAGAGGCGCAGACAGGGACTAAACCGTCGTACATTGCTGGGAATCGATGCAACTTTTTAGTTGGTGAGTTAGTTAGTTAGTTAGTTGGTTAGTCAGTCAGTGCTCTGTCGGGGGCAGCACAGCAGTGATGGATCTGATCAAACAACTGGTTTTCCTGTCCACGTTCCTTGTGATTGTCGACTGCACTCCTCCAACTTGCTATTCGTCAGTGTTGAATTTAAGTAAACGGATTATGAAGTCTTTGAAAAGGCTGCAGACATTTGCCATCACAGTAAGTTTACCAGCCGCGGGGTTGCTGTTGAGACGGTGGGTTTGTTTCCCGTAGTAAAGTGGGGCTGCAGTTACTCGGATGCTTTCTCTTCACAGAAACCGTGCGTTGCCATACTCCCAAACTTCTACATTGACGTACATGTAAGTAAGTGGCTGTGACCATTAGTGTGTGTGTGTGTGTTGGTGTGTGTGTGTTGGTGTGTGTGTGTTGGTGTGTGTGTGTGTGTTGGTGTGTGTGTGTTGGTGTGTGTTGGTGTGTGTGTGTGTTGGTGTGTGTGTGTGTGTGTTGGTGCGTGTGTTGGTGTGTGTGTGTTGGTGTGTGTGTGTGTGTTGGTGTGTGTGTGTTGGTGTGTGTTGGTGTGTGTGTGTGTTGGTGTGTGTGTGTGTGTGTTGGTGCGTGTGTTGGTGTGTGTGTGTTGGTGCGTGTGTTGGTGTGTGTGTTGGTGTGTTGGTGTGTGTTGGTGTGTGTGTGTTGGTGTGTGTTGGTGTGTGTGTGTGTTGGTGTGTGTGTGTGTGTGTTGGTGCGTGTGTGTTGGTGCGTGTGTTGGTGTGTGTGTTGGTGTGTTGGTCTGTGTTGGTGTGTGTGTGTGTTGGTGTGTGTGTTGGTGTGTGTGTGTTGGTGTGTGTGTGTGTTGGTGCGTGTGTTGGTGTGTGTGTTGGTGTGTTGGTCTGTGTTGGTGTGTGTGTGTGTTGGTGTGTGTGTTGGTGTGTGTGTGTTGGTGTGTGTGTGTGTTGGTGCGTGTGTTGGTGTGTTGGTGTGTGTGTGTGTGTTGGTGTGTGTGTGTTGGTGCGTGTGTGTGTGTGTTGGTGTGTGTGTTGGTGTGTGTGTTGGTGTGTTGGTGTGTGTGTGTTGGTGTGTATGTGTTGGTGTGTGTGTTGGTGTGTGTGTGTTGGTGCGTGTGTGTGTGTTGGTGCGTGTGTGTGTGTTGGTGCGTGTGTTGGTGTGTGTGTGTGTGTTGGTGTGTGTGTGTTGGTGCGTGTGTGTTGGTGCGTGTGTGTGTGTTGGTGTGTGTGCAATGATTATTAGTTTCCAACACCCATGACTGCCTCAGACCGACCGCAAAACAACATGCGACTTTTCAGAACTCGTGTGTGATGATCAAACTCCGTGATCACCTCTATTTCCTGGACAACCTCAGCAGCCCCCGGTGCCAGAAGCTCAGCAGAATCACTTGGCTGAAAGTGCGCATCAGGCGCTTGTACAAGATCATCAACCAAGTCTGCTACAGGGTAGAGTATCGTGTTGCTTTTGCCTTTTTTTTTCCCTTTTAAAGTGGCTCAACGTGGGCGAAAGTATTGGAACGACCTATATATTATATGCATACACACACACACACACACATACATACATACATACATACATACATACATACATATAACCCAGTCTGGCGCTCTGCCAACCTTAAGTTATTCAATCAAAGCTGCATTTTCTGCTAACACTGACCATTATTATGTGGATCCCCGTTGAATGGGTCTGACAGCGACCCTCACCCATAACCATCTCTCCCAGTGCAGTAGCTCCTGTCTCCCGTAGCTCTTGTGATGTGACCGGTTCCCCTTTGATCGCTTGACAGGACCTGGTGTTTTTCACGGATGACTGCGCCGCCCTGGAAAACCCACCACCCACACAAGATCCACAGGAAGAATTGCTCAACTGAAACCCCGGTGTGACCGGTGCACACACAGCATTTTCATTTCCGAACAGGAGGAAGAATCGTTTCTGTAACGTTCAGGTTTTTTTTTCCAAAAAAAATAACAATGTAGCCCGAGCTCCTCTCTCGATTAATACTTTGCTGGTTTGCAGACTTCATGTAAACTATTGGTCTCCGCTTTGTTGCTTTCAGGAGGTGAGAACAGCTGAGATCGTGGCTTATTTGTGGGCAAAATAAGCGTTTGCGTTCCCATCTTTGTGGTGTTATGATGTTTGGCTGTAATCTGCTTTACAGAGTGGGAACTCTTGCAGGAAAGTTTAGGAATGTTGCTTTTCGTTACTTCTAAGCAGTCCCCCCCCCCACTCCCCCACCCCACCCCACCCACCCCTGGGGTTTTCAGAAACCCACAATCCCCAACTTAATCGAATACACCAATAAACAGTGCATTCATAGAGCAAAGATCCACTGTTGAGTTGATTTGTAAGGTTTCGTTGTGAACGCGAACATTCCTGTTGCAGTGATCCTGTGTTTGTCTTTTCTGTCGTTAAAACGCCCACATGCTCCCAAAACGCTCCAACACAAGTGCGAGTGTGTTCCCATTCATAGTATACCGTATTCTCCACTGTAGTCCCCAAGAATAGAAAGTAGTGAGTTGTGAGCGAGGTTCAAGTCTCACGTTGGAATTGCAGGTCACAGAAGAAGTTAACTGGACTGTGAGCTCAGTATACAACTGGGGGAAGGCTGCCTTACCCCCCCCCCACCATGGATAAAGTCATTGAGATAAATTAAAACCAGGATAGAATAGATCCACCATGTTTCAAATGAAATCTAAAGATTTATGCAAAAAGAGAAGGGGAGTTGCTCCAGGTATCTTGGCTGACAAACCTCCAGAATAATTGGTCAGTCGACCTCATGATGGTTTGTGGGCATCACCAGCTGCCCCGTTTCTCTGCACATAGTGACTGCGTTTCACAGTAATGACTTTTATTCATTATTAATTAAAGTAGTTACTGTGAAGCACTGTGAGACGTTTCGACGTGAGAAGGGGGTTATGCGAATGCGAGCTGTTGCACTAATTTTCGTGTGAAACTGAACCTTGCCAGGTGTAATATGGCCAAATCAAATTGATATTGTGAATTATTTGGAGATCATTTAAAATGAGGGGAGCAATGTACGATACCACTGTATGCTGTGCTGACAATATAAATGCTTAAAATACTGCAAGCAAAAAAAAGGAGCCAGCATGTTGGATGAAATAATACTTTCATGTTCCCCAAAACGTCTTCTTTCGCTGTGTATCACGCTGCAATAAAATAGTTTTGTAGTACCGTACTATATTTTGTTTGGTTCCTTTCCCCCCTTAAAAGGACCATCTCTATCAGCACTTGTTGAATAAAACGCCCCTCGGGATGGAGGATGAAGTTGCCAGTGGCGGTGGGACGAGTGCAGAGTGTAATGCACACAAAGCAAAAGGGGATCCTCGTTATTTCCCTCTTCCTTCACAACGTGCAATTGTGATATCACAATAATGTGACAGTTACAGCTGAGCTCACACTCACACTCACACATACTGCTCAGCACTCACACTCACACACACTGTGCTCAGCACTCACACTCACACACACTGTGCTCAGCACTCACACACACTGCTCTGCACTCACACTCACACACACTGTGCTCAGCACTCACACTCACACACACTGTGCTCAGCACTCACACTCACACACACTGTGCTCAGCACTCACACACACTGCTCAGCACTCACACTCACACACTGTGCGCAGCACTCACACACACTGTGCTCAGCACACATACTCACACTGTGCTCAGCACTCACACTCACACACACTGTGCTCAGCACTCACACTCACACACACTGTGCTCAGCACTCACACTCACACACTGTGCTCAACACTCACACTCACACTGTGCTCAGCACTCACACACACACTGTGCTCAGCACTCACACTCACACACTGTGCTCAGCACTCACACTCACACACTGTGCTCAGCATTCACACTCACACACACTGTGCTCAGCACTCACACTCACACACTGTGCGCAGCACTCACACACACTGTGCTCAGCACACATACTCACACTGTGCTCAGCACTCACACTCACACACTGTGCTCAGCACTCAGACTCACACTGCTCAGCACTCATACTCACACTGTGCTCAGCACACATACTCACACTGTGCTCAGCACACAAACTCACACTCACACTGTGCTCAGCACACACACTCACACTGTGCTCAGCACACACACTCACACTGTGCTCAGCACACACACTCACACTGTGCTCAACACACACACACTCACACTGTGCTCAGCACACAAACTCACACTCACACTGTGCTCAGCACACACACTCACACTGTGCTCAGCACAGACACTCACACTGTGCTCAACACACACACACTCACACTGTGCTCAACACACACACACTCACACTGTGCTCAGCACACACACTCACACTCACACACTGCTCAGCACACACACTCACACTGTGCTCAGCACTCACACTGCTCAGCACACACACTCACACTGCTCAGCACACACACTCACTGTGCTCAGCGCACATACTCACACTCACACTGTGCTCAGCACACACACTCACACTCTGCTCAGCACACACTCACACACACTGTGCTCAGCACACACACTCACACTGCTCAGCACACACACTCACACTGCTCAGCACACACACTCACACTGCTCAGCACACACACTCACTGTGCTCAGCGCACATACTCACACTCACACTGTGCTCAGCACACACACTCACACTCTGCTCAGCACACACTCACACTCACACACACTGTGCTCAGCATACACACTCACACTCACACTGTGCTCAGCACTCACACTCACACTGCTCAGCACACACACTCACACTGTGCTCAGCACACACACTCACACTCACACACACTGCTCAGCACACACTCACACTCACACACACTGTGCTCAGCACACATACTCAGACTCACACTGTGCTCAGCACACATACTCACACGGTGCTCAGCACTCACACTCACACTGTGCTCAGCACACACACTCACACTCACTGTGCTCAGCACACACACTCACACTGTGCTCAGCACACATACTCACACTGTGCTCAGCACACATACTCACACTGTGCTCAGCACACACACTCACACTCACACTGTGCTCAGCACACATACTCACACTGTGCTCAGCACACATACTCACACTGTGCTCAGCACACACTCACACTCACTGTGCTCAGCACACATACTCACACTGTGCTCAGCACACATACTCACACTGTGCTCAGCACACACTCACACTCACTGTGCTCAGCACACACACACTGTGCTCAGCACACATACTCACACTGTGCTTAGCACACACACACTGTGCTCAGCACACACACACTGTGCTCAGCACACATACTCACACTGTGCTCAGCACACTCACACACTGCTCAACACACTCACACACTGTGCTCAACATACTCACACACTGTTCTCAACACACTCACACACTGCTCAACATACTCACACACTGTGTTCAGCACACACACATTGTGCTCAACACACTCACACACTGTGCTCAAAACACTCACACACACACTGTGCTCAGCACACTCCCCTTACTGTGCTCAGCACACACACACTGTGCTCAGCACACTCACACACTGTGGTCAATACACTCACACACTGTGCTCAATACACTCACACACACACTGTGCTCAGCACACTCACACACTGTGCTCAGCACACACACACTGTGCTCAGCACACTCACACACACTGTGCTCAGCACACTCACACACACTGTGCTCAGCACACTCACACACACTGTGCTCAGCACACTCACACACACTGTGCTCAGCACACACACACTGTGCTCAGCACACACACACTGTTCAGCACACTCACACACTGTGCTCAACATACTCACACACTGTGCTCAACACACTCACACACTGTGCTCAATACACTCACACACACACTGTACTCAACATACTCACACACTGTGCTCAACACACTCACACACTGTGCTCAACACACTCACACACTGTGCTCAATACACTCACACACACACTGTGCTCAACACACTCACACACTGTGCTCAACACACTCACACACTGTGCTCAATACACTCACACACACACTGTGCTCAGCACACACACACACTGTGCTCAATACACTCACACACACTGTGCTCAGCACACTCACACACTGTGCTCAATACACTCACACACACTGCTCAGCACACTCACATACACTGTGTTCAACACACTCACACACTGTGCTCAGCACACACACACTGTGCTCAGCACACATACTCACACTGTGCTCAGCACACTCACACACTGCTCAACACACTCACACACTGTGCTCAACATACTCACACACTGTTCTCAACACACTCACACACTGTGCTCAACATACTCACACACTGTGTTCAGCACACACACACTGTGCTCAACACACTCACACACACTGTGTTCAACATACTCACACACTGTGCTCAGCACACTCACACACTGTTCTCAACATACTCACACACTGTTCTCAACACACTCACACACTGTGTTCAGCACACACACACTGTGCTCAATACACTCACACACACACTGTGCTCAGCACACACACACTGCTCAGCACACACACACTGCTCAGCACACACACACACACTGTGCTCAATACACTCACACACACACACTGTGCTCAGCACACACACACTGTAACTGTGCTCAACACACACACACTGTGCTCAATACTCACACACTGTGCTCAGCACACACACACTGTGCTCAGCACACTCACACACACTGTGCTCAGCACACTCACACACTGTGCTCAACACACTCACACACACTGTCTCAACACACTCACACACACTGTGCTCAGCACACTCACACACACTGTGCTCAATACACTCACACACACTGTGCTCAGCACACACACACACTGTGCTCAATACACTCACACACCGTGCTCAATACACTCACACACACACTGTGCTCAGCACACTCACACACTGTGCTCAGCACACACACACTGTGCTCAGCACACTCACACACACTGTGCTCAGCACACACACACTGTGCTCAGCACACACACACTGTGTTCAGCACACTCACACACTGTGCTCAACATACTCACACACTGTGCTCAACATACTCACACACTGTGCTCAACATACTCACACACTGTGCTCAACACACTCACACACTGTACTCAATACACTCACACACACACTGTACTCAACATACTCACACACTGTGCTCAACACACTCACACACTGTGCTCAATACACTCACACACACACTGTACTCAACATACTCACACACTGTGCTCAATACACTCACACACACACTGTGCTCA